CAGGTTTGGATGGAAAAATGTTCAGTTTAGGTGCTTCTGAGATAGCCAGGTAAAAAAGTGAGAAGAAGAGATGTATTTTTGGATCTGAAGCTCAGCAAGAGGTCACAAAATTTGGAATTGTCATCATATTTGAAATGAAGTGGATGAGCTCTCCAAGAAAGAGGATTTGAAGAGTGAGACGGATTCATAAAGAATTGCGACGTTTAGAAATAGAATATGAGAAATGGGATATGCAGAGACAAGCGGAAATAAGGAAGAGTAGCCAGAAAAGATAGAAGGAAACCAAGAGGGTGTCAAACCTGGAGAACTGAAAGATGAGAAGCGATACCACCTAGGCTTAATTGGCTTGTAGGGAGGTCATGGTCACCTTAGCAAGGTTACTAGAATTATGAGAAATATACTGAAGGGTGAGTGAGTGGGAGGATGTGGTGACAGCAGGAGAAGAAAATTCCTTCCAGAAGCTTGGCACCGCAGAAAAGTAGAGAGGTAGGGCCCTACTAGAGGGAGTAGGAGGGTGGAATGTGAGACCATTTGGTCGTTTGGTTTCTTTTGGGAATTTTCTTTTTGGATGGATGATACTAGGGCATTTTTTTTTTTCATGCAATTAGAAAAAATTCAGTAGAAGGGCCAAAGAATATTACTGTCTTCTAGCTTGCTAGCAACTGATGGTTTTTAGCAGACTGGTGGATAGTACTCAGTAGTCACAAATACTTACGCTAAGTAGGACCCACTTCTATAAATTTACATTTGGAATATAAAAGAAAAAAAGGTTGGTGTTAAAAAGTTTGTTCATTTGAGTCCTATATCCTCGTTAGACAGGTAAATGGTATGGAGAGGTTTTCTTTTATGAAGTGCTTTGTTATTCTGTAGGAATCCTGTCTTACACATAAATGACAGCAATTTATATTAAGCATTTTCCTTCACTAAATCTTTAGTTTGTGTCTTTTAATAAAATGCCACTGAATTTTCATGTCAGCAAGAGAGGTAGGTAAATTTGAATACAGAAACTAATTTAGCAGTCATTTAGTTAGGAGATGGAGATTTTAGAGCTGCCACTTCTAAAAGTGGAACAGATGAGGATTAACTGACTTTTTTTTCTTACTTCTGCGGAATAAAAAATTAGAGCTGAAAAGGATCAAAGCCCAAAATGCATGACAATGGCCGTCTTTTTATAGGTGAATTAGATTGGAGATTGTGAAGATGATTTCATTCACACCTGCACAGGCATCCTTTGAAGCTCATTACTTTTTCTTTTGGTGTTCATTTAATAAATATATTCCTGAGAGAGGCATATTGAAGTATGATTTACGTTTCTTTAAAAAAAATTAAGGACTCCTCTTGCCATCTGCCTAGCATACTTATGAATGTCCTTACCCCAACTTTTAGGATTTAGAGTTTCTAGGAATCCAAACCTTTAAAGCCTGAGCAAAACACAATTGTAAGGTAAATTTAGTATAAAGAAAGGACAGTTTCAGTAAAAACTAAGCATAAATACGTTTTGTATCACTTTCTATTTGGGATTTCAAGTGATGATATTTGCTTCCAGTAACCCAAATAATTGGCAGATAGTTTGGTGCAAAGTGAACCTATCAGAAGAGACGGGAACTTTGGAAAACAATAGTCTTTAGTTAGTTGGAAAGGGAAGGCTGTGATTTTAAATGGCAAGCACCATCCTAGAAAGCAAGGAATAAGTATAAGAAAAAGAAGAACCAAAGCAGTGTAAATATCTTGAAAATCTAGTTTAAAATAAATGTTTTGGCATTTGGGTTTAAGAGTGAAGGAGCACGCTATAAACTTACTAAAATAATGAGTTGAAGTTAGTCGTATTTTATTGTCTTGTCTTGTCTTGTATTTATTTTTTTGAGACAGAGTCTCTCTGTGTCACCCAGGCTGGAGCACAGTGGTGCGATCTCGGCTCACTGCAACTTCTGCCTCCTAGGTTCAAGAAATTCTTGTGCCTCAGTCTCCCAAGTAGCTGGGATTACAGGCAAGCACCACCACGCCTGGTTAATTTTTGTATTTTTAGTAGAGACAGGGTTTCACCATGTTGTTCAGGCTGGTCCTGAACTCCTTACCTCAAGTGATCCGCCCGCCTGGGCCTCCCAAAGTGCTGGGATTACAGGCGTGAGCCACTGCGCCCAGCCAGACATATTGTATTTAGATGTTTATAATAGTTTCCCATTACAAATCAGGTTATTGCTTGCTTACACTGGTATATGGGTAGGGAAGAGGAAACAAGTTTTGAAATAGAATTTGCTGATCTAGGCCATCCATACTGGTTTATTTGTAGGAATAATAAGAGCTTATGTCCTTTGAGAAATGTGGAGTTAGATATTGATTCTAGTGAGATTCCAGCATTAAAAAACTGTTCATTTCAAAGTTTTATTACTTTATCTGTCAGTAGCCTTGACAGTTTTATTTTATTAAAATTGGCCAAAACGGCAATGATTTGCATTTATTATATTATGCCTTTAGTGCTGGAAAATTAATATACCTAGGAAATACGTGACAAGGGCATAGTAGATTATTTTGAGGTATGAGCTGCTGTGATTTGTGTGATATACAGCAGGTAAGGTATTATATGGTATAGTCATAGATGATAATGGTACATTATTTTGTTCTTTAGATAGTTGGTAGGTGGTTGTTGGACTCTATCCATTTTACATTTTTATTTAGCGTGTGTACTGCTGGCTCTCTGCTTTGGAGATGGTCCTGGATTTAAGACAAAAGCAGATGCAAAATGGTTTCCCGACTAGGATGATAACACTAAAATCATGGGATATTCATTTTCTCAGGAAATAGAATGAGCAATTTCCTGAGCAAATGAATGCAAGCTAAAGTTGTTGATTTCTGCCTCACGTCACAGTCCAGAGTAGGTGGGTCGTGGTCCAGGAGGTCATCCAGAGACCCATGCTGGAGCGGGTGGCTCTGTCATTCCCCTGAATGTGACATGTCCAGGATTGGGTTTAAGACCTGCATATCCAGCCAGTGGGAAAGGGAAATCTAGGGCAAGTGGCTTTGTCTTTCTGAAGATGACCTAAACATTGAGTGCATTTTTTTTTTTTTCTGTTGTCTCCTTGGTCCAGTCTTAATCCACAGCCACAGCTCATTGTAGTCTCAAGCTGGGTGAAGGGCATCTGCTAAATCTGAAAGCTTAGTTACCAAAAGAAGATGGAGAACATGGATTCCAGAGAGCATATTTCCAGCACAGACTAGGAGCTCCTTGAGATGGGGGGTAGTGGTTACAACAGATGGCATCTCTTTTCTAAACCACAAGCAGTGCTTGGCTTATATTTGGTACTCAGTAAGTGTTTGGTGCGTTGAATTGACTATTAAAGCTAATTCTTTCCCTTCCAAAAGATGGAATTTGATCAAAGGCTCCAAATTCTGCAGCGCCCCACGACCTTTCCTCCTCCTCCACTGTTTTCTCTATATATTTAGGCCATTTTCCGGGATAAGCATACAAAAGAGAATATAATATTTACTTTTAAGATTTGCTTGAAAATCTAAAATGTATTATAACAGGAAAAAAGAAAGTCTGTTCATTTTATTTGTATCACTACCTTTCTCTGTATTTGGACTTGATATTTACATATGCTTCGGGCAACTAAGCACATGCCAAATTGATACATCTCTTTTATTCAACAGAACGAATATCTGGTGATTGTGAAAGTAATCCTAAATAGAAAACACAGATATAGCATTTAGTTTATAACCTAGATTGGTATTTGTGATGTTCCCTTTTTCTTCAAATTATTAAATATATTTTTATATATATATATATAGTGAAGCTAGGAACTAAGAAGTTACTAGTTTTATTTTTGCACAATTCTATATTATACCAATTATATAATTTGCTTAAAGCACTACACTAGTCCTTTGCTTATATTTTTACTATAAAATTAGAATTAGGAAAGGAAATTATATGACAATAATGAAATATTTGTACTTGAGATACTTATTCCATATACCTAAGATAAGAAATTGCTTAAAATGACATGGTATCTATTTGGCATAATAGCAGCTCTCTTGCTACTTAGAGCAAAAATCTGCTTTTAAAACATAGTGGCATATCTTATTAGTAGGAGAAAAATGTAATAGCAAGAAATAAGTTATGTAGGTATTATCATGTTCAGTGTCCTCATTTGGCACGTGTGGAAACCGAGGCACGAAATCCTGAAACATCTTGACTTGCAATCTTTGGGAAGATGGTCATATTTTAGAAGGTCTTTTTAAAGGATGTATCAGCAGATTATTATATATTAAGATCTGTTGTTTGAGTTCCTTATGAGATATGAGATAAACTTACCCGTCAACACTCAAGGGAAATAGGGGGAAGCCAGGAAGAAGATGAGAATTAACTTGGGAGGGAGGGAGAGGTGATCCTGCCTGTGCCCCTCCAGCTATGGCCAGTGGAACAGATCCTGAGTCCCTGAAGAGGCTGCTGTTGTAGCTCGGTTGCTAACTCAAAGAGGGATAACTGGATTAGGAGAAAGCACATGGGAAAGGCATTTGTTCCTTGAAGTGTCTGTAGATTCGGGGGGTTGGGAGGGCCCCTGTGTAGAGATAGGGAGGGGGAGGGAAATGAGAAAGAATGTGTGCTTCCATTATTAAATCATTCAAGCGATTGAAATATATATGCAGGTGATACAGCAAATTTTTTAAATTGAATATAAGATACTTCATTATTATGACATTTCTTTAATGTCGTTTCACATTAAATGTTGTGGCAAAAATTTAATAGGATTAAAGCCTGTGATCATTACAAATCAACTTTTCCTCCTAGATAAATGTTAGTTTTGAGCCCCTGGTAGGCACCCATCTCAGTGGTGAAGTTGACAAGTCATCTGTCGGGTGTGTGGAATAGGATAGGGTTTGGTAGCATCTCCCTCTCTCTTTGTGGTTCTCTTGAGCTGTTCACAGTGAGCATCTTAGTTTTCTTGCAGAGGGAAGGTAGCTGCACGGAGTGACCTGATCTTCCCTTTTTTTTCTGCTTGCAGAACAATCAACCATGACGACCGAATCTGGATCAGACTCGGAATCCAAGCCGGACCAGGAGGCCGAGCCCCAGGAGGCGGCGGGGGCGCAAGGGCGCGCGGGGGCGCCCGTGCCGGAGCCGCCCAGCGAGGAGCAGCAGCAGGCCCTGGAGCAGTTCGCCTCTGCTGCAGCGCACAGCACCCCGGTGCGGAGGGAGGTGAGCCCAGGCCAGAAAACTAATGACTCCGTGTTTGCTGAGCTGCTCCAGGATCATCTTTAACCTTGGTCTCTCAGCCCTAGAGGCAGCTATGAGGGGTCATCCCTTGTTCCCATTCTAGCCCCAGGCAGATGAAAATGTATGCTATTTTAAGGCTTTCAGTGAATGACATTCCACAACCTTGCCTGGTAACTCCTTCTTTTAATTAAAACACTGAAACTCACTGAAGTCCAGGCTGGAGATTAGGGGTCCTATCTGGATTTAGAGGAAAGATAGACACCAAACTGACAGCTTTAATTATGCTTGTTGTTGTTTTCTCTTTCAAGCCTAAGGCCTAGAGTGAGTTTGCATTTCCCCAGGCATCGCCCTGAGCCTAATGTTGCAGATCTGCTTTTATTATTATCATCATCATCATCATCATTATTATACTTTAAGCTCTGGGATACATGTGCAGAACGTGCAGGTTTGTTACATAGGTATACACGTGCCATGGTGGTTTGCTGCACCCATTAACCCATCACCTACATTAAGTATTTCTCCTAATGCTGTCCCTCCCCTAGTCCCCCAGCCCCTGACAGGCCCAAGTGTGTGATGTTCCTCTCCCTATGTCCGTGTGTTCTCATTGTTCGACTCCCACTTATGAGTGAGAACATGCGGTGTTTGGTTTTCTGTTCCTGTGTTAGTTTGCTGAGAATGATGGTTTCCATCCATGTGCCTGCAAAGGACATGAACTCATCCTTTTTTATAGCTGCATAGTATTCCATGGTTTTTTAGCAGATCTTCAGGTAGGTCTTTCCCTCCCTATACACATCTGTATTTTCAACTCTTTTCCCTGTACGTGTTTGAATAGTCAGGAATAATGCATTTCTTTTAAAAGCTTTAAAGGATGGTTTACCTGCAGGCCTTGAATAAGTCCATATATAAATGTCTTTGGTCTTAAAACTTCAAACCTGGAATCAAAATGTTTTAGAATGCCAATTTGTATGTAGTAAAGCAATCTGGTGTCCCCACAAGTGATTGGCCTCTTATATGTCAGAAGTGTTTCACACTAGAAATCCTAAGATGTTGAGAGAAGAGATATAATCAGCGTATTAGTGAAAATCTTTGGAAGTCACAACATTAAACTATATATTTGCAACCTGATTATTTTATTTCTTTACCTAGAGTATTTGCAGATTTGCCTTTTTTTTTTTTTTTCAATTTTATACTTACTAAAAATTTGAGGCCGGGCACAGTGGCTCACGCCTGTAATCCCAGGACTTTTGGGAGGCCGAGGAGGGCGGATCACCTGAGATCAGGAGTTTGGGACAGCCTGACCAACATGGTGAAACCCTGTCTCTACTAAAAATACAAAAGTTAGCTGAGTGGTGGTGCACGTCTGTAATCCCAGCTATTTGGGAGGCTGAGGCACGAGAATCACTTGAACCCGGGAGATAGAGGTTTCAGTGAGCTGACATTACACCACTGCACTCCAGACTGGGCGACACAGCAAGACTCTGTCTCAAAAAAAAAAAATTTTTTTTTGCGGTAAAATATACATATAAAACTTACCATCTTTTTTAAGTGTACAGTTTAGTGATAATAAGTACATTTATATATTTATATAAAATATGCATTTTATATTATATATATTTATATTTTTTTAAAATTCCTTTCATCACTCCTCCTCCCTACCCTTCTCCCTATCCTTCCCAGCCTCAGATAGTCACCGCTACTCCCCATCTTCATGAGATCCCGTTTTAGTCCCCACATATGAGTGAGAAGATGCAGTATTTGTCTTTTGGTGCTTGGCTTGTTTCACTTAACATAACAGCCTCTAGTTCCATCCGTGTGGGTGCAGATGACAAGATTTCATTCCTTTTTTCTGGCTGAATAATATTCCATTGTGTATATATACCCCTTTCTAAAAAATACATTCTCCTGTTGATGGGCATTTAGGTTGATTTCATATTTTGGCTGCTGTGCATGGTGCTGCAGTAAACACTGGAGTGCAGATGGCTTTTCTATATATCAATTTCCTTTCTTTCGGACGTATATCCAGTAATGGAATTGCTGGATCATATGATAGTTCTATTTTTAGTTTTTGAGGAACCTCCATTCTGTTTTTCACAGTGGCTGTACTAATTTACATTTATGAGGATTGTCCTTTCTCCACATCCTTGCCAGCATCTATTACTGCCTGTCTCTTTGACATATGCTGTTTTAACTGGGGTGAGATGATATCTCAGTTGTGGTCTTGATTTGTGATTAATTTGTGATTAGTTAGTGACAGTGAGCATTTTTTTCATATACCTATTGGCCATTTGTATGTCGTCTTTTGAGAAATATCTGTGCAGATCTTTTGTCCATTTTTATTTTCTCTAACTATTGAGTTGTTCGAGTTCCTTAGATATTGCGGTTAATAATACCTTGTCAGGTAGACACTTTGCAATTTTTTTCTCCTATCCTGTAGGCTCTTTGTTAATTTTTTCCTTTGCTGTGCAGAAGTTTTTTTGGCTGGATGTAATCCCATTTGTCTATTTTGGTTTTGATTGATGCTTTTGAGGTCTTATACACAAAAAAACTTTGCTCAGACCAATCTCCTGGAGCATTTCCCCAGTGTTTTCTTCTGGTGGTTTCATAGTTACATGTCTTACATTTTTAAGTCTTTAATCCATTTTGATTTGATTTCTGTGGATGGTGAGAAATACGGGTCTAATTTCATTGGTCTCATATAGTTATCCAGTTTTCCATACACCCTTTACTGAAAAGACTGTTCCCCATTGAATGTTCTTGGCACCTTTGTCAAAGATGAGTTGGCTGTATATGTGGATTTATATCTGGATCCTCTATTCTGTTCCATTGTTTATGTGTCTACTTTTATGCCAGTACCATGCTGTTTTGATTATTATAGCTTTGTAGTAAATTTTGAAGTCAGGTAGTGTGATGCCTCCAGCTTTGTTCTTTTTAGTCAGGATGAGTTTGGCTATTCGGGGTCTTTTGTAGTTCCATGTAAATTTGAGGACATTTTTTCTAATTCTGTGAAGAGTGTCATAGGTATTTTGTTAGGCATTCCATTGAATTTGTAAATTGCTTTGGGTAGTATTGCCATTTTAACAGTATTAAGTCTTCTAATCCATGAGCATGGAATATCCTTCCATTTTTTGTATTGTCTTCAATTTTTTTCATCAGAGTTTTATAGTTTTCCTTACATCAATCTTTCACTTCTTTGGTTAGATTGCTTCCTAGGTATTTTATGTTTTGTAGCTGTTGTAAATAGGATTGCTTCTTGATTTCTTTTTCAGATAGTTCACCATTGGCAAGTTTAAACACTGCTGATTTTTGTATGTTGATAAATTCTGCAATTTCACTGAATTCATCTATCAGTTCTCACAGTTTTTTGGTGGAGTCTAGGTTTTCCTAGGTATAAGATTATGTCATCTGTGAACAAGGCTAAGTTGACTTCTTCCTTTTCAATTTAGATGCTCTTTCTTTCTTTTACCCAATTGCCCCAGCCAGGACTTCCAGTATTATGTTGTATAATACTGAAAGTGGGCATCCTTTACTTGTTCTGGTCCTTAGAGGAAAGGCCTTCAGTTTTTCACAATTCAGCACAATGCTAATGTGAGTTTTTCATATATGGCATGTATTATTTCGGGGTATGTTCCTTCTATACTGATTTTGATGAGGATTTTTAATCATAAAGGCATGTTGAATATCAGATGCTTTTTGGAGTCTGTTGAAATAATCATGGTTTTTGTTCTTGATTTGGTTCATGTGATATATCATGTTGATTGATTTGCGTATGTTGAACCATCTGCATCCCTAGGATGAATCACATTTAATCATGGTGAACGATCTTTTCAGTCCCCTTTTTAATGTGTTGTTGAATTCGGTTTGCTGGTATTTCACTGAGGATTTTTGCATCAATGTTCATCAGTGATATTGGCGTGTAGTTTTTGTTTCTGTTGTCACTTTGTCTGCTTTTGGTATCAGAGTAATATTGGCCTTGTAGCATGAGTTTGGAAGTATTCCCTCCTCTTCAATTTTTTTTTTTTTAAAGACTTTGAGTAGGATCAGTATTAGTTTTCTTTACATGTTTGACAGAATTCAAGTGAAGCCTTCAGGTCCTGGACTTTTTTTGATAGAAGACTTTTTATTATAGCTTTGATCTCATTACTCATGACTATTTTGTTGAGGTTTTCTATTTCTTCATATTTCGTTCTTGGTGGGTTGTATGTGTCTAGAAATTTATCCATTTCTTCTGGGTTTTCCAATCTGTTGCCATATAGTTGTTCATAATAGTCGCTAATGAGTCTTCATATTTCTTAGGTCCCAGTTGCTATGTCTCCTTTTTCATGTCTGATTCTATTTATTTGGATCTTCTCTCTTTTTCTTAGTCTAGCTAAAGGTTTGTCGATTTTGTTTATCTGTTCAAAAAACCACCTCATTGTTTTGTTGATCTTCTGTATTTTTTTTGGTCTCAGTTTCATTTATTTCTGCTCTGATGATCATCGTTTCTTTTTCTTCTGATTTTGGGTTTGGTTCATTCCTGCTTTTCTAGTTCCTTGAGGTGCATCATTGAGTTAGTTATTTGAAGGCTTTTTACTTTTTTGATGTAGACATTTATTGCTCTCCACTTCCCTCTTAGTACTGTTTTTGTTACATCACACAGATTTTTTGTCTTGTATTTACATTTTCACTTGTGTTTCAAGAATTTTTAAATTTACTTCTTAGTTTCTTCACTGACTTATTGGTCATTCAGGGCATGTTGTTTAATTTCCATGTGTTTGTGTATTTTCTGAGGTTCCTCTTACTGATTTCTAGTTTTACTCCATTGTGGTCAGGAAAGATACTTGATATGATTTTTTTTTCTGGCTTTTTTTTTTTTTTTAGTTTGTTTGGACTTGTTTTATAGCCTAAGACATGGTCTGTTCTGGACAATGTTCCGTATTCTGATGAAAAGAATGTATTCTGCAGCAGTTGGGTGAAATGTTGTGTAAATGTTGGTTAGGCCTGTT